ACCCCACAAACTTCAAACATAGGTGCTTCTTGTCTGATACTCCTCACATTTCCTTCATGCTTATTAGTCTTTCACATGCTTTTCACTTTGGTTTTCTACCCACTTTGGCCTTTGTAAGCTAATAGCCTAATATTTATTAATCATTTGCTTATAACCATTGGGTGACAATGATTGTTTAATATTCATGTTTTGAGAATAAGTATATTAATGGCATTTTGGTTGATAATATGTGCATGTAACTACAAATAAATTAAAGTTGTGGTGAATTAATGACATTTTGCTCGTTCAAATATAGGTTTAGATAAATCTGGGTAGAGAATTTAAATATTAGAAAACATGGGTTAAATTGTCATGTAGAACTTTGGATTTACATTATGAGTAAATGACTTTCAAGTCCTAATTACCAACTTTTACTTAAAGTATTGTGCTCATGGGTTTAAATGGCACGTGAGTTCATCACGCAGCGTTGATCGTCAATGGATTTGTGGTAAAGTCTAAAGACTTAAACCAACCTTGTTTAAATTAATGAAAATGAATAATAATAATAATAATAATAATAATAATAATAAAGTGATAAAAGTGGCCTAGGCCTTAGTAGAATCCTAACTTAAGGTGATTTGGTTAAAAGTAGCCATTTTCATTGTATAGATTTTGTTGAAAGTCATTACCGTACCTTACACTACAAGCCGTTAATTATTATTTTTGTACAAAAAACGACACATGAAGAAGTTTCACAATCCTCCATAATAAATGAAAATAATTTTACCACTTGTCATCATTTTATGCATTATGCCACGTGTCATTTTATAGTAACTTTAAATTAAATTATATACATGTGTCATTTTGTGGGTTTTTTTCCATTTTATTAAATTCCATATAATACTTAAATGCAATAAATGTAATAATAAATATATATCCAATTCATTAATGCAACTTTTCTTATAATTTCTAAATTTCTAAATTGAATTCAATTATTTTAGTTGTTTATTTATTTAAATTATTAGTTTAAATTTAAAAGATAAATAAACACTTTAGTTTTAATAATTAAATATTTTACTTTAATCTTATAAATATAAATTTTCAAAATTGTTAGATCTTCATGTTTGTTTATTTTTTTGAATAAACTCATGTAATAAATGAGTCTCACAACTAGTATATCACTAAAAGCAAAACCTAATTAAGAAAACCCAAATACAGAAAAAAAAAATGCAAAGACCGCGGACTAAACTAATATAAAAGTGGACAAAGAGAAAGAAAAAACCATCTAAAATAAGAATGAGTATGACCTTAAATTTTGTGGTCAAAGACCAAAAGAAAACAGATTGATCCTGAATGGTCTAAAGACCAATTTTTGTTTGACAAAACTACAAAAATAGTCCTTGTGGTATGCATTTTTTCTGAGGTTTGGTCTAAACCTCGAATTTTTTGGATTGTGGTCCTTTTGGCCTAGTTTCAATGCGTATTTGGTCCCTCGGTAATATGAAATGATTGTAGTGTCCTTTATGTATTTATTTTTCATTTTTCTTTCATTTTTTAAAATTAATATATATTTATCTATTTTAATAATTAGCAAATAAAAAGAGGGCCCACCCTCTCTCTCCCTCTCTCTATCTCTCTCTCTCGCTTTCTCTCTCTCTCTATCTCTCTCTCTCTCGCTTTCTCTCTCTCTCTATCTCTCTCTCTCTCTCCCCCTCTTTCTCTCTCTCTCTCTTTCTCCTATATGCCATTCTCTTGCACCATCACCCATTGATGAACTTTAAATTGAGAAGATGATGTAACACCCTGTTCTGAATCAATTCCTAGTCTGAAGCTGTGGCTCGAAGGTCAGTCATTATAAGGATTATGGCTTTTGAGAAGGAAAGATCTAGGCCCATTTGGTGCGGGTGATGTATTAGAAGTGATCCGGGTGTTCGATTCGTGTTTTGGAGTCTAGGGGTATTTCGGTAAAACGGCAGTTCGGGCATTTGTGGAAAATGAATTTTTGTTTGGAAGGTTTTAAGAAAGGTATGAGTTAATAGAAGTGTAGGTCTTCTCGTTACCTTTTCGTGGATATAAGGATCGCCGGAATCGGGCTTAGAACGAAGAAGTTATGGTCTTCGGAAGTTTCGTGGTTTTCAGGCTTAGCCGAGTATACGGGGCGTACACAAAGAGTACGCGGGGCGTACTAGTGAAAAAGGCAGTACGCGGGGAGTACCTTGGAGTACACGGGGCGTACTGACCAGGATGGTCGCGAATGTTCTTTGGAGTACGTTGGGCGTACGTCAGTCAGATCAGAACCCTATTTTAGGGTCTTGGACCCTATTTAAGCTCCTTATCTCATAATCTAACCCTAATATCTTCAGCCTCCATCCCTCTAAACCCTATAAATCGACCCTTAGCCCTCATTTGAGTGATTTTGGAGCTTGGATGGCCATTAGAGGAGCATTTTGGTGTTTTTGAAGAAGGTGTTCATTCATGAAGACTTATTGAAGAAGATAGAGCTTTTGGATCCAGAACTACACCAGCTTTTGGCTCTCATCTGAGGTATAAAGTCTTAAACTTGGTGGTTATTTCCTTAGATCTCTTATGTTGAGTTTTGGACCTTTTTGGTCCCAAGGTTGAAGCTTTATGGTTCAAATCCGATTCTTAGGCTTAGGGTTGCCACCCTTGGTGCTATTTGAGTCCCTAAGGCAGAAAGTTGCCATCTTGGAGGTCTTAATGGGTTCATGCAAGAGTTATTGTCATTTTCATGGAAGTAGATTGTTATACTTTGAGTTTAGGTTCATGTGGGTCATGTAAGTCACCAAGTTAGTGACTTTATGGATTAAGACGTTAAGTAGAGCTCAGACCTGTAATTTGGTCCCTTGGTTTGAAGCATTAAGTGCTTAATGGCAAAAAGGACTTAACAGAGGAGGACGTTGGGCGTACAAGCTGATACGCGCAGCGTACAAGTCATGAACCTAGTACGCGCTGCGTACGGTTGAGTACGCCCTGCGTACTCAGTCAGAATAGGTTTTGTTTATTGGGCTTCGGTGTAGGCAAACTATTGGGCTTGTTTATCTTGGGCCCGTTGGGCCATCAGGTTGTAGGCTGTTTGTGATGTGGGGAAAAGGCCTCGGAAGGAGTTGGGCCTAATTTGGAAACCTGGGCCTTGGTTTGGGCCACGAGTGTTTTTTTAGCATTTTGGGCTTAAGTGTTTAGATTATTATTGGACCATCGGGATGCAAAGTATGTTGGACTGAAAAGAAGGATTTGGGCCTCATGGCAAGACCCAAGTAGAGGTTTGGGCCCAATTTGGAAAATTGGGCCATTAATGGATTTATGGACAATATAATGTTGGGCTTTTGTTTTGGGTTTGGGCCTTAGTTTTGGATCATACTGGGACAGGGGTAGAATGGTCATTTTACCCCCATGCATGGGTTAAGGATTTTTGTATGGGACCCAATTTCTAATTGGGTATATTGATCGGTATTGATAGCTCAGGAAGTGGACATGGCAGCAGCTAAGGATTTCTTTCAGGAAGCTTCTGCATTCGAGGTGAGTCTTCTCACCATACCAATGGGTCTAAGGCACCAAGGTCGGCCCATTTTATGATGGTTGGTAAACTTGTTGTGTAGAGGTGTGTGGCATATTTATGTAGTGATATGTGGTAGAGATAGCTTTTACAGCTAATGGTAGAGATAACCTTTATGACTAATGGTAGAGATAGCCTTTATGATTAATGGTAGAGATAGATTTTATAGCTAACGGTAGAGATAGTCTTTATGGCTACTGGTAGAGATAGCTTTTATAGCTAACGGTAGAGATAGCCTTTATGGCTAATGGTAGAGGTAACTTTATAGCTAAGATGATATATGATAGATGGTAGAGATAGCTTTTAGAGCTAAGGTGATATGTGATATGTTGTAGAGGTAGCTTTTATAGCTGATATGATACATGTTATGTGGTTTGTGTGTGGGGTATGCTCTGGGGGAACTCACTAAGTGTTAGCTTACAGATTGTGGATTTGTTTCAGGTACATCGGAGCCCCAGGGCAAGGGCAAGGTTTGATGGCGCGGAGTGCACTCTCTCAGGCGTATTTATGGGACACTCTGATGTTTTGGAATAAAAGTTGTATTTGACTTGTGTTTTGAAAACAAATATATTTGGATTTCGTAATTTATGGAAATGTGTTCGATTAATCAAAAATGAAAATTTTCTTTGAAAAATTGGGTTGTTACAGATGAACTCCAAATTCTTCCCACCGACTATCGGTTCAGGGACAATGTCAAACCATTCTCTCTCTCTCTCTCTCTCTCTCTCTCTCTCTCTCACACACACACATATACGTCATTCTCATGCACATTTTGTTCTTGGTTAGATTTGTTGGTTGCAACCATGCCAAACCATCATTTTCATTCGGTGGTGTAGGAGACTGGAGAGTGGATGAAGCGGCGTCAGAGTGTGGTGGTCAGAACTCTGTTTCCCTACCCCCGTCCTACCATGTCCAATCCTCATGTCCAATTCCAACCTGCTACAACTGGATAAAAAACCCACGATTCCATATCCAAAATCAATCAACAAAGGCTCTAGATCCAAAAAAACTCATCGGCCTATCTCCTGCTTCCTTTCATTTTCACCCTTGTTTCACTCACTCCTCGTCATACACAAAACATTCACCCAAAGTTATCAAGTTGAAATCGTTTCAAGCCCTAATTAACTCGTAATGGGACTCATAATCATATTCAAGGTGTTGGTAGATGTGAGATTTGGGGGAACATAGTGATGATTCTTAGGAGGGATTTTCAGGGCTGTAGATGGATTTGATGGATTGTACGAATGAAAGATGAGAGGAAGGAGCAACAGTACAAAGATGATGAAGATTGAGAGGATTCACCATTAAATCGATGACGAAGATGGAAAGGTTTCATCAGATTCTTTGCAGATTTGATTTCATCACTCAAGAATAGCAGAATTTTTGTTGACATCGAGAATCGAAGTGGGTTGTGGGGGAGAAGAAATCATTGAGGCATTATTTGTTAATGGGGGAAGAAATCATCTCACTACCATCATCAACCTTGCTCCACCATCTCACCTGCCGAGAACCTTGGCCTTGGTTTGGACGAGTAATCAAGGGTTTCAAATGCTTTGGAGGTTCTCAAATCTAAAGATGTAAAAACATGATGGAAAGGGAAATGGAAAGGAGAGGATGTGAGTTAGATTCGATTGATTGGTAGTGGCGTTGGTTTACAGGAGGAGGTAGGTTAGTGTGGTGAATTTTGGGGGAGGGTGAGACGAAGGTGATAATTCGGAGAGAGAGAGAGAGAGAGAGAGAGAGAGAGAGAGAGAGAGAGAGAGAGAGAGAGAGAGAGAGAGAGAGAGAGAAAGGGTGGGTCCTCTCTTTATTTATTAATTGTTAAAATAGATAAATATATATTAAATTAAAAAATGAAAGAAAAATGAAAAATAAATACATGAGGGGCATTACAGTCATTTCAATTTACCGAAGGACCAAATACGCATTGAAACTAGGCCAAAAGGACCGGAAATCCAAAAAATCAAGGTTTGGACCAAACCTTAGAAAAAATGAATACCACAGGGACCATTCTTGTAGTTTTGTCATTTTGTTTCACTTCAAATCTTTTGAGTTGATAGTGTATAGTTGTTCCAGCCTGGCCCATGACGAACGGCCCAAATTTACAATATAAATAGGACCTATTGCGGCCCGAGCCCACGGAAATAGGATTTGACGATCAGCATTCAACAATTGCGAAGTAGCAGGAGATATCGTCAACGATTTCCATCGTTATGGAAACATTACCAAAATTACTAACTTAGCAAAGGAGGAAACAAAATCCTCTACCAGCGATTGCCATTATTATGGAAACAACAGTAGTTTTAGACTTCTACTTATACCGAGTAATTTTTAAATCTATAAATTCAAACTCGAGCCGATTCCTCTACCGAAATTGTAAACCGCCAACATTCCGGTAATTCTACTAAACGCTTTTATTTCTGTATTATTAATTTAACTTCGTATGTTTGATTACTTGATTATCTAGTGTTTAGTGGTAAACATTCAACACTATTTTGTTCATCAAGGACATTTTTACCATGCCGTTGATTTATAATTTCGAAACACTAAATTTGTTCGGAGTATCCAGAGATGCTAATTTTTGTATATTCTGTATACATTCTGTGTTTACTTTCACTTCAGGATCTTGTTCATCCTTCTTCTTGTTTTCCTTTTTTCTTTCAACATTCTGTAAAATATCGGCCATTTGAGAAGTATAGCATCTATATATAATCTCATGTAGAATTTGTATTTACCAAGATCTTGAATATTTATTCTTCTTTTGCAGGTGTAGTAACAATGGGTAAGACAATGAGTACGACTAGAAACCAAAATTATGATGTGCCATGGTCAGATCTTAACCATGATGTGCTTTATTTAGTTATGATGAAACTTGGAGTTGTTGATTTTGTTGCATTCAGTGGAGCTTGCAAGTCATGGAGATCTTTGGCACTCTCTAACCGGAAGAAGTTTATGGCATCTAAACCACCTCTGTCCATAGGTATATATCCACCCATGTCCATGTGTATATCTCCTCGTGCTTATAAGAAAACCTTCCACTTAAAGGACTTTGAAGGAAGAAAGTTCAAAACCCTCCTTCCCCATTCTGCTGCTAGGGAGTGTGTTGGATTAACTTGTGGTTATTTAATCTTGTTTGGGTGGAAAACCAAAGACTTCTGGCTTGTGAATCCTATCACAAGGCATCGACTTCATTTCCCTTGTGTCCCCTTTAATGTTGATTATTTTCCATATTCAAGAGTCAGGGCTATTCTGGTCTTTTCACCTTTAGTATCTGGGTGGTTGTTGGTTATTTTAGAGCGTTATGCCAGTAAAATATGGTTTTCAATAGCGGGTAAAGGAGAATGGAATCATGTCTCCTCCACATTCCGCATCATTGATTTACATGCTTTTAAGGGGAAGATATATACCCTAATTGGCAGTGAAAAGACAAGAGATGTATATCATTTACTTGAAATGAGACTCCATCCACATCCCAGCCTGACTTTTCTCAAAACAAAGAATTTTTTGGCGCGGAGATATATTCCGATGTTTGGAAGTTGGGGTGAAAAGCTTTATGTGGTGCACTATATTTCACGAGAATTGTACTATTTACATGAACTAGATTTTGGTAAAATGATCTGGGTGAACTGTGAAACGACAAGAGAAGAATATGCATTCTTTTCTAGCTTGGAGCGTGTTGCTGCTTTTAAACCAGAGTCGTGGGCTGACACTAAGAACATTAGGAAAGACACGTTCTATTATGAAGAGATGTGGTACTTTCCCCATGATTGTTTGAATGTTAATATCATAGATTAGTGATAGACTTGTTAACACTCCTGTCTTTGTTTTTATCTTTACATATGTTGGAACAATTTTTTTTTCAAGATTTGAGAAGCACTATTGTTTGATTTAGATATTTAAATTCATTGTTTGAAAATTGTCTGTTGTCACTCACCCTTTGCTTCAAGTGGCAAGTCTAACAATTATATCTCCCTTTTATACGATGAACGACCTTTTGTTTGTCTTATGATGCAAGTTGAACATGTTATCAATTAAGTGATTAAGTGAATGGTGTCACCAGGGATGGCCACTATGGATTCGGTGCTTTGTATAATATCTTAACAATAAAAGCTACAAAAAGATCATTAACAAATATAAAAGTACGTTCATGTGGAAATAAAAATATTTCTATTTATATTTTGTATTTATTTTTCAAGGTTTGATCATCAACAGTTCAATTCATAAAAGGTGAGTGATGCAACATATCACATTATATAAACATACAGCTTAAATGAACTAGTACTATGGATCAATTGTTTGTCATATATATCATTCCATAAAAATCATTATATTTAATCTTACACGTGCTTTTGGAAAAATATTTGGTCATATTATATAATTTTTAGTGGTTGATTTCGTTGAATTCTTTTTGGATAACGTGGGAAACCTCAATGAGGCAATTTTATTGAATCCCCTCATTGTCATGATTGCCTTGTTGTTCATGGCAGCAATACACACTTATTAATATAGTTTTTTCTCCGGTGGTGTTGCAACTTTGTTCCTTCTCATCTGGAGGTTGAGGTTGTAGATGGCAATGGAATCGGTGGTGGCTTGTGTTATATTGAGCACAATGGGAAAAGAAAGCGATCCGGGGAGGAGCAAACGGTGGATAAAGGGAGGGGGCCCCAACAATATTATTAGGGGCAAATGGTGGATAAAGGGAGGGGGTCCCAACAATGGGAAAAGAAAGCGGTTTCTAACTTCTTTTATTATTATTATTATTATTATTATTTTGCATTAGGATCGTTCCTGTGGTTTGATTTTGTTGCGTTTTTCGTCATTTATATACATAAAGTTAGGGACCAAACGTGCAATTTTGACCAAACTATAGGAACGAAAAACACAACAAAATCAAACAACAAGGATGATCCGAGTGCAAAAAAAAAAAAATTAGGGACCAAACGTGTAATTTTGACCAAACCATAGGGTCGATTTCAATAATTTACTCTTTCTTTTATTTATAAAAATTCCACATTATTGGTATAACCTAAAAACCCAATATAACCGGACAATAATGGTTTTATTTTTAAGTTTAAAAGGTCATGGTTTTAAGGATAAAAAGTAAAAAATTAATAACTTTTCAGGTGACATATTAAAAAGAAAATAATGTTTTTATAATATATCTTTAAGTTTTATACATGTCTCACATAAGACTCTGAGTTGTCTGAAGTCTGCTCCGAACCTGCTGAATCAACTGGTTCGTCTTGAGTACCACCTCGGTACTCCCTATAACTCACTGACCGACCTCGCCCCAGCATATCGGGGTCATGTATTTCCTCCCATAAAGCATCTCAAAAGGAGGTCGGTCGATGCTGGCATGGTAGCTATTGTTGTATAAAACTCTGCTAACGGAAGATACACATCCCAGCTACCACCGAAATCCAGAACGCACGCCCGCAACATATCCTCCAATGTATAGATGGTCCGCTTGCTTTGACCATCTGTCTGCGGGTGAAAGGCTGTGCTGAAATGCAGACGAGTACCCAATTCGTTGTGGAATTTCATCCAAAATATGGAAGTACACAACACGTCTCTGTCAGAAATCACAGAAATCGGTACCCCATGTCGTGCCACGACCTCCCTGATGTAGACATCCGCCAACTTCTCCGTATAGATACTCTCCTGGAGTGGAATGAAATGTGTGCTTTTGGTCAATCGATCCACGATGACCCATATTGAATCCACTCCTCATGCTGTACGAGGCAACTTCGTAATGAAGTCCATGGTAATCTCCTCCCAATTCTAAACGGGGATATCTAACGGTTGCATCTTGTCATAAGGTTGCAGATGCTCAGCCTCGACTTTCCTGCAAGTCAATCACCTCTCCACGTACCAAGCTACATCCCGCTTCATGCAGGGCCACCAATAATCAGGACAAAGATCCCTCTACGTATTCATCGCCATGTGATGGATGGAGAATATAGATTTGTGCGCTTCCTCTATCAGGACCTGACGCACACTGCCCAAATATGGAACTCACACTCTCCGATGGAGAGTCAATAAACCCCAAATATCATAATCGAAGGAAGCCACCTGACCCACAATGCGCTCACTCTTCTGGTGCTCCTCCTTCATAGCCTCGACCTGCGCTTCCCGAATCCACTCCAGAAGCAAAGTAATCACTGTCATCCTCAGACAATATCCCTAATCGAAGCCGCGAATGCCTTGTGGCTAAGAGCATCAGCCACCACATTGGCCTTCCCCGGATGGTAAAGGATCTCTCAATCATAACCTTCACCACATCCAATCACCGAAGCTGCCTCATGTTCAGATTCGGCTGGTCCATCAAGTTCCTCAGACTCTTGTGATCTGTGTAAATAGTACAATGGACCCCATAGAGGTAATCAGGTAATGTCGCCAAATCTTGAGGGCGAAAACCACAGCCAGCAACTCCAAATCGTGCGTCGGATAGTTTGCCTCATGAGGCTTCACCTGCCTTGAGGCGTAAACGATAACACAACCCCTTTACATCAAGAGCGCGCCCAATCCTATGATAGGCGCATCACAATAAACCACAAAATCCTCAACACCTTCTAGCAGAGTCAAAATTGGTGCCTCACACAATCTCTTTCTCAGGGTCTCAAACGCTGTCTGCTGCTCAGGAGAACAGCTATCTTGGAGAAATCCTGGATAAATCTTCTGTAATATCCATCCAACCCAAGGAAACTCTGAATCTCAGATGGAGACCTCAGAACCTCCCACCTCATCACGACATCCACCTTGGCCGGATCGATCAGAATACCATTCTGGTTGACAATGTGCCCCAGAAACTGCACATCATGCAACCAGAACTCGCATTTGGAGAACTTCACATACAACCTCTCCCTCCTCAGGGTCTCCAACACCTTTCGCAAGTGCTCCTCATGCTGCTCCTGGGTCTTGGAATAGAACAGGATGTCATCGATGAATACAATCACAGACCGATCCAACATCGGTCGACACATGCGGTTCATGAGATCCATGAACGCGACTGGAGCATTGGTGAGCCTGAAGGGCATCACCACGAACTCGTAGTGGCCATAACAAGTCCGAAAGGCCTTCTTCTGCACATCATCCTCCCTGACCCTCATCTGATGATAAACTGAACAAAGATCGGTCTTGGAAAACCAAGATGCACCCTAAAGCTGGTCAAATAGATCATCAATCCTCGGGAGTGGATAATGGTTCTTCGTTGTTAGATTATTCATCTCCTAGTAGTCAACACATATCCAGTATGACCTGTCCTTCTTCTTCACAAACAAGATCGATGCACCCTAAGGCGCACTACTTGGTCGGATGAATCCCTTGTCTAACAACTCCTGCAATTATGTAAAAAACTCTTGTATCTCAGGTGGAGCTAATCGATATGGTCCTTTGGCTATCGGAGCCACACCAGGAACCAAGTCAATCCGGAGCTCCACCTGCCTCTCTGGAAGCACCCCAGGTAAATCCTCTAGAAACTCATCCGGGTACTCCCGCACAACTGGCACATCATCAATTGATGCCTTATCCTGCTCCCTGGTATCCATAACATAGGAACCAAACCCAGAACAACCCCGATGGAGATAGCGTCTGGCCCTAGCGGTTGAGCATAGGACCGGCCTGAGCTGAGCGCCCTCTCCCTAGACCACCAACTCTCCACCACTTGGGGTCCGAACACGTACCGGTTAGTGCTCATAGTTAATCATTGCCCCATTGTGGCTCAACCAATCCATCCCCACTATAACCTTATTCACGCGCAGAGGAATGGGAACCAAGTCAATCGGATACCGCTTGCTACACATCCCCAGAACACAATCCCGATGAACCTTCGATGCCCGGACGGATCGATCATCCGCAATCTCAACCTCTAATAGATGATCCAGCTCACTCGGAGATCCGAAAAACCTCTTTCTAAGCATAAGATATACGAATGATTGGGTAGCCCTGAATCAAATAATACCAAAGCAAGGATACTGTTCAAAAGGAACGATCCTAACACAAAACACATAAAATATAAGCAATGAAATCAAATCAAAAAGAGTTCAGGAGAAGAGACATACCCGTCACCACATATGGTGCAACATGTGTCTTCTCGGTAGTCAGCTGGAAAGCTCAACTCCTCACTATTGGCACATCCGCCTTTCCCTGGCGGCCATCAGTGATCCGTAGGATAGCTGGAGCAGGTGTTGTAACTGGTCCTCCCGCTGCTAAACTCGGGCAGTTGGCCTTTTTGTGGCCTCTCTGATTGCAATGGAAGAAAATTTGGTCTGATGTCTGGATGGTGGGGATATGAGCAGTACAATCCTTGCTAAAGTGCCATGTCTTGCCGCACTTGTAGCAGCCTGAGCCACCCGCTCTACAAACTCCGTCATGCGACCTACCGCATTTTCCATAGCGGCTCCGGCCATGATGGCCCTTCGACCTAGAGTCGATTCCCTTGGGTTTCTTCGCTGAAACCCCAACTGTCTGCCCAGGCTCTGACTTCCTCTTCCCTATGTGCTCTAGATCAATCTCTCGCTCTTGTGCCCTGGCTATCATATCATCGATTCTTGGGCAGACAGAAAAACGAACGAACTCCCTGATTTCGGATCTTAGCATATCATGGTATCAGGTCTTCTTCATTTCCTCATCAGCTGCATACTGGGGTACCAACAACACCCTTTCCCTGAACTTGTCGGTGATGTCTGCCACAGTCTCAGTCGTCTACCTCATATCAAGAAACTCCTTGGCCATCTGCCGCACCTCGACATCTGGTGAAAACTCTGCTCGAAACCTAGTCACAAAATCTAGCAAGG